GGAGGAGACATGAGTGGAGCGATAATAGGCACAGCAGGAGATATAGAACTGTTGGAGAGGACATAATAGTAGCTAAAGTAAAAATTCAAGACAAAAAGCGGAATATTGTCACTGTATGCTCAAAAGAAATAGGAAAAATAGAAAAACACTGGGACGAAATAATATAAGAGCAAGAAGAGGAGCATCTAATTATGGGAAGAAACTTCAATACAAGACTGGCAGAAGAAAATTGTGCAATTAGCGAAGGAGAAAAAAGAAGAATGATAAAAAACTCTAAAAATATAGAGGGTAAGGGATGGTAAGTACTCAATGGTAACTGAACAGGAGACGAAGAAGAAAACCATACTATATATATATATTATAGGCGTGTGCGAGCCGGTTAGTGTGTCGGGTAAATAGCCGACTATTACGGCCGAGCCGGAAAAATTCGGGCGGGCTCTGCCCGAGATCATACGGGAAGCTCGAGACCCACCAATCCACTCGATCCATTCCGATTCTTAACCCGTAATATATATATAATATATATATTATCAATTCATTCAGTAGAAAGAAGTTTGGCAGAAAAAGGAGAAAGACTCTTTGCTTTCTTTGTTGATGTAAAAATGGTTTTGGTGGGATAAATTGAAACAGAATGTGGGATGTATTAAAAAAATTAGGTGTAAGTAGAGGACTCGTGAGGGGGTAAAAGAAATATATAGAGAAAGGGGCAATATTGTAAAAACGAATGAAACGAAATCAGAGGAGTTCTGGACTGAGACAGGGTTATGCAAGGCTCTGCTTTAAGCCCAACACTATTCACATTATACGTCGCAGATTTGGAAGAAACGTTTAGTAAAAATTAGGAAGAAAGTATAGTAGTAAGCAAGGGGAAAATTTGGTCATTAGCATATGTAGATAACCTAATACTGCTGGCTAAATCAACCAGTGAAATGAAGGAAATGAAATCTTTAAATAAATATCTAGACAAGAGGAATTTGACTTTGAACACAGAAAAATCAAACATCGTAGAATTTAAAAAAGGAAGACGACAATAGAGGAAAACAGTTTTATTTAACTTTTAACTTAACTTAAGTTTTACTTTTCAGAAAAATGGCAGGTTCGACAAGCATATCAAACATTTTCTAAAAAAAAACAAATACTGTAATGAAAGAAGTTTAGGGTGTAGGGGAAAGAAAATTTCATGAATGCCTTAAAGGAAGAATGATGCTATTTGACCATTTAGTAGCGAGCGTACTTCCCTATAGGGTGAAGATCCGAGGATGATACAAGCACAAAGGTACAAATAAAATATATTAAATGGACACTTTGTCTGAATAAAACCATGCCAGATTACTTAGTACTAGCGGAAATGAACAGGGACATTCTTAGCATTAGATTTGAAAATAGAGCATTTGAAAAAGTAGGACTAAGTTATAAAGAGTTATCGGTTTGTAGGGACAATAGACTAGACACAATAAATGTAACCAGGGAAAGAGGCTAGAAAGTACAAAGAGAGGAACAGATATCGAAAATACAAAATTCAAAAAGCAACAGAAGATATCAGTATTTATTGAGAGTGAGAAGATCAGAATACCTAAAAAAGATGGAATTAAGGATAGTCAAGAATTGCTAGCGAGAGCATGGAGTGAGAATTTTGATAACGGAAAGAAGTACTGGTTCGGAGAAGAAAAAAGAAAATGTACAATGTGTGGTAGATATACGGGGACACTAGAACACTTAGTAAACGCGTGTGATAAAACAGAGCCAAAGATGATATTAGTATTCATTTTAAACGATAAGGTGTACAAATGTGCAATGAAACAGCTGAAAAGGATAGATGGGGAATTGGGGAAAATAGAATATGTGCGGAATTAAATGAATGTAATGAGAACGAAATGAATGATAGAAAGTAGGGAGAATTCTATAAACCAAACTCACTCGCCGCCAAGCTGTGTTTAAATAAAATTTATGAAGTACTATTGAAATTAAAATTTTGGTAGTTTATTTACACTACTCACGAAAATGCATGTTTTCTTCAACACTTGTTCAAGTGTGGTGTGCCCACGTCTAGGTAACCCTCGAAAAACTTCACTCAAAATTCTCCCCGTGTCTTTTTCTGCATCCTAAAATATAAATATTAAAAAGCGGCTAATATTGGCTGGTCTATATGTAGCATGGGACTTATAGTCCACATTTGGACCATATAATTAAAGACGCTAAAGGCTTAATGATAATTATTAATGCGTGATCCTATTTATTTAAAAAAGTATGTAAAGACAAGCTCTCAATATCAGTAACATAGTGCTCTAAACAAATTTGCTGTTAGTTCAATAAATTATTCATAAAAAAAATAAAACAAATAATGTGTAAAGTTTTTATGATGATGAAATATGGAAAGTAATACGTTCTGCAACACGACACGTTAATTTAACAATTCTGAATAACTATTTATTCTATTTAATGTTTACTGTACTTCAAATAGCTCATATTTGCATCCTTACCTGTGTTTGGATCAACTCCTATATACGTATACTAATTGTAAGTTTAGCGATGTTGAACGTTTTTTTCTGCTCGTATCGATACATGTTTATAAATATGAGGAATGCCACCATGTACATTCAGTTCGTTCATATTTCCAACCACTTTTTGTACCAATTGATCCTGACGATTCTTTGTTATTAACGTTTAAACTTCGCAATTGCACCGCTGTTCACGCAATAACGTTTCATTCAATGGATTCATTTCGCATTCATTTTTTCATTGTTGGTCCGATAAATGAAATGATCTCGTTTCGAAACTGGTTCAGGTATGGGAACAATCTATTTCGTTCGCTTTCGAAATGAAAAAATTAAAATTGATAACGTGTACAGATCGATTAAAGTATAGGTAACTGTCTAAAATCGAACAGATAGTGTAGAAGCTCGTTCGCGTAAAAAATATTTTACGTAAAAAGGGAAACGTTTCGATTAACCTACTTTGCAGATCAATCAAAGTCACGTACAGATTGAGTTTACTATTATAAATAGAATTCTTAATGGCTGACGATTCAACAGCAATTACGAAATAAGTTGCTCTTCAAAAAATGAAGTTAGCTTTTAGATGTTCTTCGTACTTTCAGCTACAAAGTGATTGTCAACGTTGTATACAAGCGTTCGTATGCGTTTTATAAGGATTTTTCTTCGAGATCTAACTTCGAATTGTTGGAAAAAAGCGAGATTGTGTAAAAGACGAAATTCTATTCGAAAATGCTCAAAATCTCGGAATTCAAATTTCTTAGGAAATTAAATTTTTATTTTATTTAACTCGGCATAGTTAAGGCCAGAATTAGCTTGGTACAGTAATAATTTCTACTCTTTTAAACTAATTAAAATCAAAAAGAATAATGAATTCCAATGATAACCAGCCAAGAATATAAAGAATAAATTTAATTTGTGCATTGATTACTAACCAAAGGAAGAGTCGCAAAGTATGTGACAACTCATTATTACCAGCGAAGAATTTCATAAGTATTACAATTAACAATAATGAATAATATAGCACTAAAAAAATACACGCAAATATATCTATAACAAAAATTCAAGAATGTATATTCATTCGATCCTTCGGAATAAAAATCTCAACGCTCAAAGCAAACGTGTGTAGATCAAAGGGGTGTCTTAGAACCTGTCTTTAAATGGAGATTCTACTGCATGTAGATCAGAGTGGCTGCATTCATCTACCGCGTAGCTTCCAGACTATTCGCCATTTCAGTATTACAACACGGTTAAGCAGAAAGTAACTCACAGCTCGTAGAGACGATTTATTCTCTCAGACCGCAGCCGGCGTCGATGTATAAATCCGTTCGCACGTTAGTACGTTACCGTCTGCGCTCGAATCTACAATCTCAAAATGGCGGTGAACTTTGCCCCGCGGCTCAGAACGATCCGCAATGATCATTGAGCGATCTAAGCCGGTTGCCGGTGAAGTTTGCCACAAAGTTACGTTCAATTGTGCAGCGGCGTGTGCTTGTATCTACAGGAAGCGTGGCTCATCTAAACGTACGTGCAAATGTAGCCCGCAGCGAGCCATTCCTGCTTCCGGTCGGCTGCCATGCACAGAATGCGTACGCATATGTAGACTGCCGGCCGTGTGCTATTCACTCGGCATACCGGCGGGAGATCGATATGATCCTGGCTTTTTCATTTGGGCTGAATCGATCGGAAAAGTATTCGGAATCCCTGGCTGTCGAAGTCGAAACCCCTTCCTATGTCTGCGGCTCGGTTTAGAATTATTTGGAAGTGGTCCCCCCGGTATAGTTTCTCTTTGAGCCACGTCAAAAACGTAAAAGTCTGTATCCGCATCTGACAGAAACGGAAGATACAAACTATTGAGTGGGTGCAAACGTTTCGATGGGTTTTTCTAGAAATGAATAGACTGTAAATATTATTTAACCAAGAATAACGCATTTAACCGATTATTAGGAATTTCTTAATATTATTGTTAAGCGGCTTGCATCCATTGGATAGGGTCTATGTCATCGTAAATAGAAGAAAATCGGAGTTTATTATTTAAGTAAAAGCCACTACGTGCCAAAATTTGGTAAATCATCTTTCACAGGTTGATATCGACACTTGCGGATTCTCCGTAAATTATTTTAATAGAGTTTTTGATATTTATTTTTCTACGAAATTCACACACCATAATCACGTATGAGCTGTATTATACTTGGCAGTGCTCGTTTTTAATTATTCTCAAGCCAACTTGCTCTAAATAACAACTACATAATTTGTTGAGAACTAGTCAGGAGTTTTGCATTCATTTAATAAGAAGAAGGATAAAACAGAAATAAAAACCAATGTTGACTGGTTTTAAAAAGTAAAATATAATCAGTGATTGTTGAGTAAATTCGAAAGTGATTAATAATAATAAAAGCATAATCATCCGTGTTCAAAGTTAATTAAATGGCAGCCAACGAAATATTTGTAGATAATAATGTGCGTGATTCGGTTTGTGCTCATCGATATCATGATTTTCGATTACAGGAATTGCTTGGTAGGCAAAGCTTATCACATTAAAATCTCGGATTTCGGTACGGACAACGAATTGTACGCGTGCGATTATTACAAAGTCGATGGCGCGGTGCCGCTGCCGATACGTTGGATGGCCTGGGAATCCATATTCCTGGTAAGCTTCATTTGAAAAATCCAATTAGAACGTTCGCGCCATTAACGCGGCGTACATGCGTGTTTATCTTATTCTGTGTATTGCTTATTTAGTAATTAACTAAATGTTCCGCATATTGTGCACGAAACGACGTTTTCGGTACAGAAGTTAATTGAGTAACTATTATGTATGATCGATATAATGCTTCAATCAGTTTCCATAAAATCGTACAATTTTATTTCTTAATTTGTACTTTATCGTGCATCAAAGCTTAACAAATATTCGATCATTTTTGTAACGTCCCACGTTATTTGATTTGATCTTTTTAATAATAATACACCAATTTCCACTTATGTAAGTAATTACAAATAAAAGGTGTTTATATTTTGTTTTCATATTAATCCTAAATATTGTAATTTAATGTTGTATAAATTAATTAAAATTGATAAATATGAAAAAAGTATATATATTTTTATAATATTATAAACATTTAAATATCTTTAAACTATCTTTAGATCTAGTGACATAATTGTCACGCATTATTTTTTCACATACTTTTAGATTCTTTTCGTATAGACGGCATCAAATTTGTTATGTAAAATGAAGATCTAAAACAAGATTTATTTACATTACGCGATAAATCAGGTTCTTTCGTACAAAAATCATTAAAGAAAGCTGATACACAGATTAATTCTTTCAATTGAAAATATAAAATAGCTTTCCACGAGATAGTGTCAGTGATAAAAACAGTTTAAAATTGAATAGTGTTATTAAAGTAGATATCCTTCAGTAATTGCATAAATTTAATGAGAATTTGCGCCATCAAAATGAATTTCCAGAAGTAAGAATTTGGTACAAAAAGTTTAAGCTCTCAATGGTGTTATATCCACCAGATATTATACATAAAATCAGGTGAAGAAAATTCGTAGTGAACTCGCATAGAACGCGAACGAAAGGACTATACCCTGTATTTTAGAATGCACATTTTATTCTTTTTCTTTATTATTACATTTTTACCAATTTTTATATCCATTATATTTGTTAGCTTTTCTGTGTGTACGTGTGTGCATGTATATAAATGATAGATAAGTGTGCACATATTGTATTTATAAACAAACAGTCGAAAAATATGTGAGAATGTTATATTTACTTTACGCGTGTATAAGTCAGAAATTTTTCATCGCGATACAGGAGAACGCGTTATATGGGAGTCTACTGCATTTTTCTTCCTTACAAAGTCCATGTTCACGATAATATCAAATAAAACCAACTAACGTTATTTCCATCCACGTAACATAATATGATCTTCACAGGGCAAGTACACGACAAAAAGTGACGTATGGGCGTTCGCGGTGACCCTATGGGAGATCCTGAACCTGGGCAGACGGGTTCCGTACGAGCATCTATCCGACGAGGAGATGGTTCAAAACTTGCGACGGCTGCATCGTACCCCGGATTGCGCGGCGGACAACGGCGGTGACGAGAACAACGACGCCAAAGAGAACGCCGATAACCTTTTCGACTATTTGCCGCGACCCACCGCGTGCTCGAAGGATATTTACGATCTGATGCTCGAATGCTGGCGGCGGGAAGAGAACGAGCGACCGACCTTCCGGGAGATCTCGATGTTCCTGCAGCGGAAGAATCTCGGTTATGCGCCCACGTCCTGATACTGAACGTTCCGCGACGTCGATCACCACGATGTTCTCGGCGTTTGTCGCTCGTGCCCGGCTAGGAGTTACTTGAATACGGGCCCGGAGACCGTCGACGACGCGTTCTATCCTCACTGGATTACCGTGAGAACTAAGTTCTGATTACTTTCGGCGACGATGAAGCATCCAGGCGCGAATTACTCGATCGACACGAAGGAGGACACAGAAACGACCGGTCGCAACGATTCAGTAGTTTTGGCCGATCTGACAACGAACGATCAAGTTCAACCACAAGTATTCTTGATAGGTTGTTCCGAGTAAGCAAAAGCCGAAAGACTTCGAAACGTGGAAGTAGAATTCCATAGACTTTCTGGAAGAGAAAGAGGAACGCACGAGATCATCGAGACACAACGACGTCGGAGCATTCGATGCAAACTGTTTTCTTTTTAGATACGTAAGACCTGCTTAGGGAATACAAACGTGAAACTGTGAATTCGACAATCGAGCGGGTGAACGAGCGGGGCGAGCTTCTGTTTCTCGGGTAGCCGCCTCTATGTGCGTGCGCGGGGTTCACGCGGCTATCTCAAGGGCTTCGGGGTCTGTAATGGTCGTCGAAAATTTAGGAGCAATATCGTGTAATCGTACTAATAGCTGTGAACATTCCTTGCATGGTTTAAAGATATAACTTTCCGCGGTAAGTAAGGGATAATTCGTTACTTAAGGAGTCGGATGTTATCCAGCCCGGAACGGCATTTTTCCCGTTGTAAAAAAGCGAGAGAAACGAACAGGAACAGCGGGCTGGATGAGAATATTTCATCAACGCACGGCAATACGGTAACCAAAATATCAAACTTCCTCCAGAAGGAGTTATTGATAGGATTGAAGCTGGTATACACTTAATCATATGAACGCGTATGTCTGTGAGACGCGTAGGCGGTTATAGTTCTCGCGGGTGTAAATTTATCATAATTCTCGGGCGTTCGGTAGGCTCGCTTCGACGTTGATTCGCGAAGCGAATCAAACACTATCGAGTTTTGTGTCTTTTGTCTTGTACATCGACGAATTTAGGTTTACACAAACTGACCGCGGTATCGATGATGATGATGATGAGGAGGAGGAGGAAGAGGAAGAGGAGAAGGAGGAGGAAGAGATTGAAAAAGCGAATGGCGAAAAAATTAGTGATCGTTACGATAAATAGAATCGATAGTCACAATTCTTGAAGTTTGATTAATAGATCTTAATAGATTAATATATAGCTAATAATCTCTTTTCGAAATTCTTCGTTTGACTATCATTCGGTAAGATGTGTTTGAACACGTATCCGAACTTATATGGTTTCTATTGTCGTTGATTAAAAGAAGAACAATTTTTTACCGAAACGATTCACTTCTCCTTAGATTCTAATTAAAAGTAAAAAGTGTACGGATGAACGTTTAATGAGTTCCCATTTTCGACGAAGATATCTCGGTCGTGATAAATGAGAATTCAGCGAATATCATACTTCGTGATTTACGAGGAGGAACGATATACATATTCTTTGTTAAGGTAAACGGTGGTGATAAAGGCCGCGACTATGACACATCATAATTGTAACTTTACATGATAGGCGGGATCAATTGAAACACAAAATAAAAAAAACAACTAGTATATTGTACATATAGGCGTACATTGAGAGGTAAGTGAAACATTTATCATTACGCGGAGAAAACGCAAATGAGACCAGATACAGGCAGCGGGACGACTCATTCGAGACTCGTAATTCAGGATCGCGTTTCTTTTCTTTTTAGAGCGCGATTTCGGTGAAGACCAAAATCTGGGGCTCCCAGTTCGAACTGTTTCGCGAAACTCCAACGCGAACCTCGAGATCGTTTATCGGCGCGTGGCAACATATCGGAGACTTCGTTTCACGCAGAAACGCGTTAGTGACTTCGTCGCGAGAACTTCGCGATGGATTTTCGAAGTTAAATGTTCATTTAGCGATGCTATTCTCACGACATTCGACTAATTAATCACTCGAACCGTTATGTTCCATGTATTTATATCAGATGAAATACTATCGATAGCATTCGCAATATCTAGCGTGTAGGTAATGTTACCGTTACAACATTAAAAATACTATTTATATATCTTAATGTAATTTCGCCGCGTAAGTAGTAAATAATCAGAGTCATAGCCGTTCGTATATTAAAAAAAGAACCGTACGTCCGTTGAATTTAAACGTAACAAGAATCACTTCTTTGTCGTTGAACCAAGAAAGACAAAAATGAAAGAACAAACGGAGAAATAAGAAAAAATCAGCGTGGTTTTGAAGATGGAAAATTAACGTAGTTCGTATTTATGAAATTACCGGTAAGAGGTTAGTTCGAATTATATTCGTAGAACGATTCAACGATTTAGCATTTTATACCGTGACCAGGCACGTTGTTCAGATAGCGATAATAGTCGCCGGATCGTTAGATATTAAAGAAAAACGAGTAACAAA